ATATATATATATATTCTGGTGATTTACCCGAAATTTTGTTTTGCTTATTGATAAGAACCTAATAGCCATAATTAGCAAATGTTGATGGTGTGGAATTAGGGCTGTATTTGGTTCTTTGGATTTAGTTTTCCAAACACACTCAAAGAGAAATAAGTCACACTTTTCTTTTGTATCGAAACATTTTTTATAATATTTATCTATTTTATCAAATATTTTTATTTTTTCAAATAATATCTTACTCTTTTGGATCAACGTGATTCATTATCGAAATCATAATAACACGAGAGACGCACATATTGGTCCGTTTTGTCCCTTTAGTCGTCGTCGTCGTGAGTTATGTTACAATACTAATAGTTAACACTCTTTTTCTAGAGAAGTCAGACGGTTTACTTAGATTTTTTCTTAAATAATAATAATAATGATGATGAAAATTACAAGGATGAAGTATTAATGATGATGAAAATAACAATAATAATTATGATAAATTAATCAAAATACTATATGCTATCATATAGACAAACAAAATAAAGTAGAGTTTAGTCAAACTTTAATTTGGTTCAACTAGAGTTTCAATGGAACTCCAATTCAATTCTAATAATTTCAAACGAAATTTTAAATTCAAAGATTAGATTCAATTCAACTCAAAGTCCTAGATGCATTAGAATTGGCCAAGAATCTAACAAGGACTTTGTCCCACCCATCTAAAGTATTCCAAGTTAGCTCAAACTCAATTCTGATATAACTAGGATTATGATAGTCCCTAACCAATTAGTACAGTAGAAGACTGCAGCGACAAAGAACTAAGGATAGTTTCTAATTGACTTTAGATACTCTAATGATCCAAGTTTCATTACAAAGAACTAAGAACATTGCATCAAAGCTTCATCCAACTGATATAAGAAACCCCAAAACCTTAATGCATAAAATCCAAAACCTTAGGTAAGAGGTTTCAATAGTAAAAGAGAAGGACGAGACCGCAATCGAAAACGATCCTCAACCTACCGAGAGCATATAGGTGTTATCCAACGACAATCCATGTTCTTATGCATCTTCTATTAGTCCTTATTTGTACTTTTTCTTTTATTGCTTTAAAGAGGTTATTTTTAATCAATAATAATATCTTATTTAAAAATATATCAAATGAGATTTTACATTATATATATTTATAATTTAATCTATATTTTGGTATTCATCCCTCTTATTCTATATAAATATAAAACTTCTAAACTTATGGATCAATTCGTAATTTAGAGTATACAAATTAAAGTTTTAATTGGTACAAATACATTTTTTTTTCTTAATCAACATAAATACTATTAAGGTTGCTTTAGATATTTATGCGTCAACCGCATCCATTGTTATGAGATGACGATGTATAAAATCCAATGATCTGACTTACACTTGAGCCTAATCCGCAAAGCTTGTTTTCGGAACGATCACGATAGGAATTCACTGGATGTCTATCGATCGTCGTACGTGTCGTTCTTTATGTAAGACATATTGGGTAAGATACGGGAGAACGATGATTGAAGTATTTTTAATTATTATCCTCGCAATATCAATATGTTAATTAGTTTGATAATAACTTTATTTAAAAATAAAATAAAATAATTAAAAGAATATAAAGAATCCTATTCTCAGTCCCACCTTAGTGTAAGAATGTCTGTTATTGCTAACAAGAAACGATCGAACAATGTGTTGGAAGAATACAAGCCACATAAAATGAAGTGGTTCCAATTTGGGAGTTAGTTGGAACGGTGATGTGTTGGAGTTAGGGCGCGACTGTTGTCACTGTCATGCAACGCAACCGTCTCTCTCGCCCTGACCGCAGTGCCGCAACCTAAAGAGGAGCCGGAGGACGTCTCGCGCCTCTCCGCTGTCCGACCGCCGGTGGATGCAGATCTCTAGAAGGCCCGACTCTTGAATCTGTTAGTCGCCCTCGTTCCCCTCCCCCGCAGTTGATGCCCTTTTTCTTGCTTTTGTTATGCTCGGTTGAGGGGATTCCGTCGCCGCTTCGACGGCTCCATTTCCCTTCCTTCTTGTTCGTGATTGCCGTGCCCATCGATTGGTTCTTGATCTTTTGGGCCTGTTTTGGGCGTTCATTGGAGATCACATTGCCACGTGGATTCGGTGATCCACTCGAAGTCTCTTGACAAATGCTGGTCGCTTCTTAGCGTGCTGAGGTTATTTTCTCGCAAAGATCAACAGTAGGGTAACAACAACAACCAGTCTCGACCGGTGGGGGTATGCATAATCGATTCTGTTTACAAGAATCAGCTGTTCTAGGGTTATCTTACGGGATCTTGCTTGATTGTGCCCTAGAAATCGGTTCATCTTAGATTGTCCAAAGTAATTTTTGTGTGTTTATTCGTAATATTTGTAAATTTGACACAGTTTTGATAGATTAATTTCGATTTCTATGGATATGATGACATCTCTGACTGCTGGGGCAAAACCTTTTTCTTCATTTAAGGGGCTATTCAGGTAAACGAGAGATTATCCTGACTCGATCTTGGAACAATAATAAGGGACCTGACCAAATGCAATCAGAGCCGCGAGGGCTCTTTTTGATACGTGGAATTGTTAGGTGTGGCCTGTCTGAAGTACATGAACTGTTCCATTCAACTGTTTCCCAATTTATGGCCTTTTGATTCTGTCTTTACTTATGTTCCATTCAGCCAGGAAATGACTGTTCCTCAGCTCCAAAACTAGTGCACTATTTGAATCCAACCTAGTCGATTTGTCCACTAGAAGCATGCTCAAGTACATCATCTCTGTTATAGATTGGAAAACTTTTGAGCCTTTTTCATGAGAAAACTCTAAATTCTTGGAGTTTGTTTGGGTCGTACTCTTCTACTAGTTTTATAATGGATCAATTGCCTATAGAAATCTGTGCTTTCCAAGCTCACGACAGAAGATCTGGTTTGGACTCAATTTTCATGATTTGGGTGAATTTAAAAAATATTCAAGCTGATTCAATGTCTTTTTGACCTATGCTTAACAATAGTCTTTTTGTCTAATTATTGACGAAGATGTTTCAAAAGATCTACACTAGTTTTAAAGGACTATTTGACAAGACACCATAATGACACTGATGTATTTCCTATATCAGACTTGTTTTTTACAGTTTGCAGAAAATATGCTGAAGTAACGTCTTGATTCATTATTCAACTATCTCTGATCATTCACCCAATGTTGAGATTGACTGGAACAATAGAGGGCAATTGGGTACCAGCATAAGACCAAGCATTCTCATCATTGATTTTAGGCATTGGTGACATGCTGAACTGAACTTAACTTTAAGAGTTGCATAATCTGTGGATATGTATAGGATTTCTGATTGGTAGATTGGCATGAATGCTTTCCTCAATGCCATAACACAGCCAAGGGCAATTTTTTTGGTTCTTACCCTTTCACCTATGCTTGCCCTGAGTTATTTCATAAGAAGTACATGATTTTGTTTCTGATCAAGGAAAATGATTGCAAAAGCTCAATAATCTAGTGTAGGCTTCTTCTCTGCCCTTTTAAGCATTGGCTTTATAGTGAATTTTATTTGATTGTTCCTGTTTATCGTTACTGGAAATTTGTATTAACTGTTAGTTTAAAGGCTTTTAGACGGATGTGCTCACTTGCCCTTGCATATGGCAGACTAAGTTTTCATAGTGAAATAGTTGGACACCAAAATATTGTTGTATATCGGTGAGACTAGAATGGAGGTCCAGTGATTGGAATGATATAGAAGGTCAAGATATGGAATCAACAGTATTAGTGAATGAGGTGATGCAATTTTCTGCACAAGATACTCTGAAGTAGTAGACTAGATATAAAATCTAAAGGCCGCTAGCTGTCAGAGACTTCTTGTTGGGCAAGTGATTTCTTCACTATAGATTTCATGACTGGCTAACAGTATAGTAAATGTTTAGCTTCAGGAGTTGTAAGATAATAGAAATTAATTAAGAAAATAGTAAATTAGTTTTTTCCTCAAGTCTTTTTGTGATATGAATGGTCAATGTGTGAAAGATTAACAGTATCTTATATCTTCAAATGTTCTTAGCCTCCTTTAGAAGTAGAGTACTTTACCTTTAAACAGAATCCCACGGATGAGTTAAAGCCCCCGGAACTCCCACAATGAATTTTTTCAGTTGGAAAAGGATTGAAAAACATATGTACTAGGGTGTTACATTAGATCCCTAAGAATCATATTTAGCTTAATTAGCCTTCTTCTAGAATGAAACAGTCATTCTGCATCAATAGCCGTGGAAGGGTTACTTCGGAGAAGTTACAAGGAATGAGATATTTCATCCTTGCTAAAGTCTTCTTCTTGCTTGGGTATTTGATAGAAGTCCTGATGCATTGAAGAACAAAAGGAGTCTGCTAGACAAACCTCATTTGATTCACATTACAACCGGACACTTGCATATCGGTATATGTTGTTCATTATATGCTATGACAATGTTCCTTAGATAATCTACGTTCTCAAGGTGGCAAGTTTGTTACAATCTCAGAATTTATTTTATGATGAAGGGGGCTAGTACGAATTATTTGTATAATTTCTTTTTTTGTTGTATACTCGCAAGTCAGTATTACGCTTATCTAATAGATGATCATTGGCAAATATCTTAATTCCACATGCTACACATTCCATGTATCCCTTTCTATCTTTTGTTTTGATTATGATGGATTATTCTGTATAAGGACTAGTTCGCTAGATATAGTTCTTGGTACCTTCGGCTATTCATGCTTTTGAGGCAATGTATTATATGTTTGTTCTTTGGTGCATTTGTTATAAATCTATTCATGCTTTACTAAGTGAAGACATATGTTCTTTGGTGCGTTTGTTATAAAGTTCATGCTTTTTGAGGCAAAGTATCATATTTATTGGTGCATGTTGATATAAATATACCTGTAGCATTACATAATTCCCACTGTAAACACTTGGATTGGTGCACTGCACTTGTTGACGAAGCAAGTGCTGTGCATATATGACCATGAAAAATAGCTTGTGGTCAGCGTTCTTAAAGAGCCTGAAAGCATCGAGTTCCTCAATTGAATAATGCCACTTGGCCTGCCATCAGTCACGTGTACAAGAATCAAAAGCTACGTGGATCCGAAGAACAGCCCACCGCCAACCTTTTTTGTCAAGCAGTCGTGCAGTTTACTCATTTTAACAAGCACGGGAAAATGTTTAGTTTAGATGCAGAGAGCGTTTTATTCTTGCTTCCGATCCATTAACCACTTAATCTCTGTTTCTTTTTGCTGATCTTTCAGTCTCATCATGTTGTTTCAGGTCAAAGATCCAATAGATGCTTTTTTTTAACACATCACGTTGTTGGCGGATAAAGCTCAGGATTCATTGAAGGCTTTTTCATTACAAAGAGTTATTGATAAGCCTATACTTGTTGACGACGAAACCTCTGTACGAGGAATGACCCACCGGAAGGATCTATAAAAAAAGCCAGAGATTGCTCGGATCAGGAGGAACGGGAGAGAAGGGTCGCAGCTTGAATCCAGGAGGAAGGGGGAGGAGATGGATAAGAGCCAGAAGAGTGGCCACAGGTGTCTGCCCAAGAGGATCATACTGGTGAGGCACGGGGAGAGCCAGGGGAACCTGGACATGGCCGCGTACACCACCACCCCGGACTGCCGGATCCCGCTCACGCCGCTGGGCGTCGTGCAGGCGCGCACCGCGGGGGAGCGCATCCAGCAGGTGGTGTCGGAGGGCGGGCGGGCGGCGAGGTGGAAAGTCTACTTCTACGTGTCGCCTTACGAGCGCACGCGGGCGACGCTGCGGGAGATAGGGCGGGCATTCCCGAGGAAGAGGATCATCGGGGTGAGGGAGGAGTGCAGGATCCGGGAGCAGGACTTCGGCAACTTCCAGGTGGAGGAGAGGATGAAGGTCATCAAGGAGACGCGGGAGCGCTTCGGCCGCTTCTTCTTCCGCTTCCCGGAGGGCGAGTCCGCGGCGGACGTCTTCGACCGGGTCGCAAGTAGGCTTCTCTCCCAACTCTACTTGGGCCTCCATATCTTTGTTGGGCTGTTGGGTTAAGCAGCGTCATGACACTGGGTTTGCAGGCTTCATGGAGTCGCTGTGGAGGGACATCGACATGAGGAGGCTAGAGCAGGACGACAACTTGGACGTCAACCTCGTGATCGTGTCGCACGGCCTGACCTCCAGGGTGTTCCTGATGAAGTGGTTCAAGTGGACCGTGGACCAGTTCGAGCTGCTGAACAACCCCGACAACTGCGAGTTCCGAGTGATGCAGCTAGGCCCCGGCGGCGAGTACAGCCTCGCCATCCACCACACGCCGGCGGAGCTGCAGCTTTGGGGGCTTTCGCCGGAGATGATCGCGGACCAGCAGTGGAGGGCCACGACCGTCCGCGGCAGCTGGTACGAGAACTGCCCCTGGCACCTCGACAACTTCTTCCACCACCTCAAGGACTCGTCCGACGACGATGGGTCGTCGGACGAGTGCTACAATGCATGAACTAATTTATTTTCGGTTGTCTGGTCTCTCCTTGCGTCTCTTCTTCTTCCGTAGAAAATGATTCTTTGTGGTACAAGAATTGCTTCAATAAACAACACGTCGGTGTGGGCTATTATGAGTACAATAGTATCTTTTGTGGACCGTCGGACTACAGAATCCAGCGTATTATTTTGGAGTTCCGTAACCAACACACTCGGACACGGGTAGCGGGACCCACTGACCCAAGCCGCTCATCCACACGGAATCCGCTAGTCGCGGACACGCTGTTGCCGACTGCTGGCGAAGGGAGCCACTCATCGATAGACGCTGTTACGTGTTCCCGCGCCACCTTGACGGCCGCCTCCCCCGGTCTCCGCGAAGGTCGTGACGGGCACTACATGTCCGTCGGAACCTGGGAAGGCGCGGCGAAAGAGACAGCGCCGCCCACGGGCTGCGGTGACCTTGTCCCGACAACCGCGTCTCAGATTTATTTCACCCCTCCGGACAAGTTTCCCACCCTGGAAAAGAACTCCGCAGGAGACCCAGATGATCTAGCCGTCAATCCAACTTCTTAGCGACCTCTCTTGTGGGTGTGGGTGTGGGTCGGGGTGTCTGAAGCAGCGCTGGATTATATCATGGCGGGGGGGGTCGGGTTGAGGGATGGCGTCGCGATAACAATTGCCAGCGAAATCTTTGTGATTCGGAAGGATCACCGAAAATCCAACGTGCCATCAGCAATGGGTGCGGTGATACCACGTATCCAAATAATTACGAGAGGGCGGCGGCTGCGGTCGGTCAAACCGTCCGCCTACTACGCACATTATTTTTCTCTTCCCTTTCGCCGCTCCACCACTCCCTCTCTTCTCCTCTCTCATTCACCCTCTCTCTCTATCTCTCTCTCTCTATATATATTTATCCTCGCCCATATCTTTCCTTCCACCTCAAGGCAGCTCCCCTGTTCTCCTTCTAGCTGAATCCTCCGTGAAGACAGAAACAGAGAAGAAGAATACGGAAAGGAGAGAAGAAGAGAAGTTTGGGGGTCTTGCAATGGCTCCGAGGACGAAGGGAGGCGACGCCGGAGAGGGAGGAGGAAACTTGCAGGTCATTCGCTTCCGGGGCGTGAGGAAGCGGCCGTGGGGGCGGTACGCCGCGGAGATCCGCGACCCCGCGAAGAAGAGCCGCGTCTGGCTCGGTACCTTCGACACGGCGGAGGAGGCGGCGCGCGCCTACGACGCCGCCGCTCTCCAGTTCCGCGGCCCCAAGGCCAAGACCAACTTCCCCTACCCCGACCCTCGCCACTTCCCCGCCGTCTTCGTCGGTGCTGGGTCCGGATCCGCCGCCTCCAGCCCCAGCAGCAGCACCGTCGAGTCCTCCACCCCTTCCCTGCCGTATCCCGCCGCGCCCCCGCCGCTGGATCTCGAGCTCGGCCACGCGTCCGCCCGCCTCCCCTTCCTGCACCCCCTCCCGGCCACCGCAGCGCCGGCGCATCCCTTCTTGTTCCTGGACGCGATGGCGAGATCGGAGAAGGCGGTAGCTGTGACAGGGTTCAAGACCGTGGCGATGAGTGCCTACGGCGGGGCGCACAGCGAGTCGGCTTCGTCCCTGGACATGAGTTATTCTCTCTCTCCTGTTGTGATGGCTGCGCCGGGTAGGAGGCTTCCCTTCGATGTCGATCTCAACCTGCCGCCTCCGCCGGAGGTGGCATGAGATCCGTACGTCTTCAAATCTCGACAGAGATAGAATAATAAAACTATCAAATATATATATCCTCATCTTAAAGTCTTGGTTAGAGAAGATGTAAACAAATAGCTTTTTGGGGTTTTTTTCGACGCTGAGAAATTAAAGGGAATCTCGGAGATGAAGAGGGAGATCCGACTCAGTGTTGTTTCAAATCTACTATATGTGTTTTTGATGTGCAATTAAAATTTTTCTGCCACCTTTTTAATCTCATAAATTGTTTCATGCCATCATGAGATGGGAAAAGAACCGGAATCATTTCAAGTATAGAGTTAAATCTGGATGGATGCTGCTTATCCTCATTCAAAGATGATGGATAAAGGTACTTACCACATGAAATCTACGTGCCTCTTTTTTGGTTTTGATGTTCCCGAATCGTACGCGTCATTTTACACGGAGAAGAAGCCCGTACGGCGATCGAGTCCCTAAATTTCATGCCATTGGTCGTCCATTTTGATATGACAAATTACATCCCACACTCTAAGTCAGAATTCATATCAAAATATCACATGTTATGATATTCCACACGTCTCATTCCAATAAATTCAGGACGTCACCACCCTCGCACGTAAGGTCAGAGTCCATGCATGTTGAGACACTGTCCGACACGTCCATTACCTCGAACCGCGTACGACCCACCCTCATATCATAATTTAAGAATCCTTCATGGATACCCACAAAAGGGGGATCTCGAAGGGAAAAAACATTCAACTAACTCGCTCGTCGGAGGGGCCACGGTCAGGGATCACCCGACGTAGATCTTTTTCTGCAGGAAAGCGACCACCCACGATTCAAGGGTGCCCCAACCTTGAAAGTCGCCGACCGACGACTTCGCAGGCGAGCCATCGACTATTCAGCCACCAGGCTGAGGAACGTTGATCAAGAACTTGACACCGAGGGTCGATCGACGTTTCGACGTCCAATTCAACCGATGGGATACTCTCGATATCGATCCACAGATCAAACCGTACTGATTAACGAGCCACGACACATCCGTTCACAAACACATTTATATACGTCAAATCGACATCGAGCGTTGTCTCCATGTGTACGCGACATTATAACTCATCTGTGTGGCCTTTTTATTGGCTTGGTGGTAAGTACGTCGTTGTCCCTTTGGGTGACCGACGAGCTCGTGCATCGCAACACGTCATGCTCACACAAAGACGGAGGCGAAGCGCAAGCACAAAGAATGGGAAACGGGCTGCCGCCCAATGCCATCCTCGTTTCCATCGGCGACCCCAATCGCTTTCCCAGTTGTTTTCGAGTGAGGGGGCGACGAAGCCGCGTCGCTGCCGTGACGTGGGAATCGCGTCCACATGGGAATCGATGCTTCCGAGCCGGGCGGTGCTGACCAATTACGAGGACGGTGGCTCGGAAGAATTCTTTTACGTCCTATCGCTTGAATTAAATTTGGGCGATTTTTCTGTGAAATTTCCCCTTTTCGTTTTTTTCTCAGAAGCTATCTCGTATTTTCTGTTTTAAGTAATATCTAAAATATTCCTTATCAATCCCAAATAATACTGTTCACATATCCCATACAGTGTTTTAACTATAAAATTAAAATATTACAAAATTTATTTAAAATATTATAGAAATCATAACTTCAACCACAACTTCAATGTTAAAAATTTAGTATTGTAATAATTTGAGTAATAATAATTTAAAAATATAATATAATCATGATATTTTTAATATTTTTAATAGTATTTTTAGTATATTAATAAAAAATATTATAATGCTATCGAAGAAAACTGTAAGTGAGCTAAATAAAATTAAAACACACTAAAAATAATTCAATATATCACACTGGGATTCAAATAGATATTTATAATAGTTTATTATTCATATAATTTTTTTATCATGGTTTTGATCATAATAATAAAAATATTTTAAACCTATTTAAAAATACTATAAATGACTTGAATAAACTCATAATCTCAACTAAACCAACTACAAACCTCAAAAAAGACATCTTATGAATCTATAAATAATAATAACAAAAAAAATAATATAATATAATTTATAATGTTTTCTAATAACTTTATAGTGCTTTCAGCACTACAAGTAAAAATACCACAACAACTATTAATGGAAAAAATATTGATAAGATGTTTTCTTGGTATTATTCGAATTAGGGATACTATTTATGAAAAAAAAGATATTTAAAAAAAGTGAATTTTTTGAAGAAAAATCACTGATTAAATTGAAATTCTAATTCATTTATTTGAGTTAATTATGCATATACACATAAATGCTAAAAACCCCTCATATAATAATTGTTTTACAAGAAGGCCTAATGGGATCCTTATCCGAAATAAAATAAAGCTTACCTTCTCTTCAGCTTAGGGTCACCGCTCTCCGCCTCCTAAGCCGCCGACCATTGGCGGTGACCGGACCCCCCCTCTAAGCTCACACCCATCTTTTCTACTCTCAACTCTCGCCACTTCTCCGCCCCTTACGACTTCTTCCTCCTCCGCGATGGCCGCCGCCGCCGCCGCCGTCTCCTCCACCTTTATCTTCCTCGCACCGAACACCTGCTCCTCGCAAACCCTTAAGCCGCCCTCCCTCGTCCCCTTCCGGCGCGCTGCCTCTGCCGTCGCCTTCCCCCGACTCCCCCGGCTCGTCCCTGTCCGTGCCTCCGTCGCCATCGAAAAGGAGACCCCCGAGAACGAGCGGCCCGAGACCTTCCTCCGTTCTGCCGATAGCCCCCATGGCGACGCTGCCGCTGCGCCGACTACCGTTCGGGCCCGCTTCGAAAGGATGATACGGGAGGTTCAGGACGAGGTGTGCGCTGCCATTGAGGGGGCCGATGGCGGCGGGACGTTCAAGGAGGATGTTTGGTCCCGGCCGGGCGGGGGCGGCGGGATCAGCCGGGTGCTGCAGGACGGGGGGGTGTGGGAGAAGGCCGGGGTCAACGTGTCCGTGGTGTACGGGATGATGCCGCCGGACGCTTACCGGGCTGCCAAAGGGGAGGCCAAAGCTGCTGGTGAGGATTCTTCGGTCAAGGCGGGGCCTGTGCCATTCTTTGCCGCCGGAATTAGTTCGGTATGTGCCGGAAAGTTGACTCAAGTCGCTACCTTTTGTTCCTTTGGCAATTTGTGGGCATTGTAGTGGAAGTGGGAATTTAGCAGTTAAAGAATCCAATAAGTTCTGTGCTTTTAATCACGAGTTTTGAGTCTGGTAAATCTAAATGGATTTCTCATACTTAGACCTCTGATTAAGGGATACAAGTTTAGGAATGGAAGAACCCTAGACTGCATTCTGTGTCTGAGTTGAAATGAATGCTTGGACAAATTGTGTCTCAAAATGATACTCCTCTCTTTCCTACCATTTCCGAGTCTTGACATGAAAAGATGAACATAATATAAATAAATTTGATAGGAATTTGGTTGGTGGTTTGATCATTTTCTGTAACCACTAAAAGGGAAACATTAGATCATCCAATGCTTAATGGTTTGATTTTTTTCTTTTTATGTTTGTTATTATGGTGATTGCAGTGAATGGTTTGAAATATTTTGCAATTTAAAGGGTCCACCATTTGCTTGTTGTATTAGTTGTTATAGAACTGAAGATGAACCGTAAAAGCAGGATTAATTAGGTTAGAAACAAGTATCAAATACGTTGACAGGAAAGTGGTGGAGACTCGACATGTCCTGTGCAACTGTTCTATAATAGGAGTGGCTCTTCGATAAAACTACAAACAAAGGGCTTGCTTTTGGCTCGACTGGCCACAGTTCTGCAAGAACCTAAATGATGCACACAGAAATTCCAATAGACATAAGTCTTGTTAAGGAAGGTAGATTTATGGAAAGTGCATGGTATCAAGTGCTTAAAAGTCTCCAGAATTATGGTTAAGGCGTTTAAGTGCTTCTAAGCATGGCAATTTCAAATTTCATCCTTGCAGCGACCGCTTGTCATCTTAGGTTTGTACAAGCTACATGGTGCATAAAGCATAAGATCTTTCCAATAATGCTATAGTTGATCCTCACTTTTTGTCTGTTGATATCTGTCACCTAAGGTTTTGTGACTTATAAGGGCTGTCTTTACTTTTTTCTGCGCCTAGAAGGTTTTAACTTTTATATATTATATAAATTATCCTTGTAAACACATGGGTTTCAGGCAGGTAATTTACTCAGTATTATATAGAGATTGCTCATCTCTTCTCGGAGGCACTTAAGAGTTGTACAAAAATGTACCGGGTGGATTAAGCTATTGAACTGTCCGAGTAAATTATGCAGAGGATGGTTTACATGGACTGCTGTCTAAGCTGTTCGATTTCTGTTTTGTAGGTTTTACATCCGAAGAATCCATTTGCCCCGACATTGCATTTCAACTATCGGTACTTTGAAACTGATGCACCAAAAGGTACCTGATCTAAAAGTTGTTTCCACAGTAAACAATTATATTGGTCAGCATTTAGATCCAGGCATGGCTACCATGTACACGTATGCCATACATTTAGAGGCATGGCATATGTACGTGATGGAATTGGTATGTTGCCGAAATACATGACTGAATTGGTTAAAAGAGCATCAAGAATGACATATGGACATGTATGCCATGTGTGTAGATGAATGTTTATTTACATGCATACACATGTATATATGCATATGAATATGCGTATTACATTGTTATTTTATTCTATTTCATCTTAGCTCTCCGCCACAATTTATAAACTCCTACATTTGGTGAAAAATATATAGTTATTTATCATCTTATACTTTTATTTGCCTGTAGATGCCCCTGGAGCACCTAGGCAATGGTGGTTTGGTGGGGGTACTGATTTCACTCCTGCTTACATCTTTGAAGAGGATGTAAAGCATTTCCATAGGGTATGTTGGATTTTTAAGCGACCAACATTTGACATTATCTTTTGGGCATCTTAATTATTTACATCTGAAATTACAGTATAACCCAAGCAGATAAGTAAGGAAATGACTGAACAAATGTTCTGTAAAATTTTGGAAGCGAACAAATTGAAACATAGTTTCGCTAATCTTTCAGCAGATCAGTGTGTTTATTGGTTAAAAATTTTGTTTTCTTTACTCCACCAATTTGTTCTGTGTATAACCTCTTCGTTTATGTTTCTGTGTTATCTATGTTGGTCAAAAGAAAGGTTGGAAACATTTGAAGTAACATGTTTGATAATAGAACTTATTCATTCATCATCCTCTGAATTAGCTCCACCTGTGTAAGTTGAAAGTTTTCTAATATTAGCTTAATTGTCTTATTAGGCCCAAAAGCAAGCATGTGATAAATTTGATCCAAGTTTCTATCCCAGATTCAAAAAATGGTGTGATGATTATTTCTTCATCAAGGTATACCTCTCTTCAACTTCAGCATACAAGCTAAAGGTCTTCCTAACCATAGGTTTCATTGCCGAAACTGGGGTTTATGGTTTTGGGAAATTTTACAACCTGTCTTATGCTTTAGAAATAAGGTGTTTTATTGCCATTTGCCTGCTGCATGAAATATAACCATTCGGTGGTCATGACCTGATCATTATGTTTTGATTCATTTTAATGTTTGCAATGCTGCTGCATGCCACATGGAGTGTGAATTGCTAGTAACAGAGACACATGAGCAATGCATACGAATGCTAATCCAAGATAATCGTATCCTTTTAATGCACCACATAGCAACTTGTCTTTTAGAAGATTCTTTTAATCCAAGTCTAAAGGTCAGATAGTTCACTTGCAGCATTTCAATTTCTTACTTTAGTTAATGGTTTGATCTTTTTCTTCAGCACCGTGGTGAAAGGCGTGGGCTTGGTGGCATATTTTTTGATGACCTTAATGACTACGACCAAGAGATGCTTCTTGCTTTCTCTACTGGTAATCCTGCACTCATCTCTTGTGCCTGCTCTAGCAGGAAGCAATCAAGAGAAATCATATGTTTCAGAAGCTTTTACTGGAAAGTTTGTCCAACTCTTCTTTCTTTCTGCATCGTTGTTCATCCAATGTTATTTGCAAACAAAATGATCATTCGTCCAACTCTTTTTTTTCCGATCGTTGTTCATCCAATGTTATTTGCAAACAAAATGATCATGGTTAATTCAATTAGATTTATACAGAGTTGGTGCAAAATGTTCAGTAACCTGTGTTTTCTTCAGAGTGCGCAAAGTCTGTAGTTCCAGCATACATACCGATCATAGAACGAAGGAAAGACACACCTTTTACCGAGAAGCACAAGGCGTGGCAGCAATTAAGAAGGGGACGTTACGTAGAGTTCAATCTGGTAAGCATAGAGGAAAAGAGAAATCTATCATGCTTTTGCTTTTGTTTTAGAGTTGATTTGGATCGAACATTATGCCCTTTGTGTAGGTTTATGATCGTGGGACAACATTTGGATTGAAGACCGGCGGACGAATAGAAAGCATTCTTGTTTCTCTTCCGCTAACAGCTCGGTGGGAATATGTTCATGTACGCACATCAAACCACACACCCTTCTCTCTCTACATATAGATCTTATGCACATTCGCATAAATCTAATCGATGAATGGAATGAGTTTTGCTGCAGCAACCAAAAGAAGGAAGCGAAGAGTGGAAGCTGTTGGATGCATGCATCAATCCGAAGGAATGGATTTGATGTCGGCCAAACGGCTAAGCAATCTAAGCTAAGCCCTTTTATAGCGTTGAGAAAATATGTGCAGGTTAGGAGTTGTGTATTGAGTTATGATTACAATCAGTTCTAGAATAGTTAGTGGTGGTCATATTCATGGTTCGTATTATCGGTCTGTACCGATCACGGTACGATATATATTGAGTTGTATCAAGCATACGTGGTATATTAGGGTTTATAGATGTACCATTTGTATTGATCTTTTGTCGAATTGGTACATATCGTTGATATCAAGTGGTACGTTCCATACGTTAAACTTCGATCATGTTGGATAATATTTAATTCTTTTTTGCATCAATAAAAGCTAAAATGCATGGATAGAAGGGCAGCCTCTGACTGTCATTGGCTCTCCACCCCTCCATTCACATCTCATCTTTTCTTCCTCTTGTCATCAAAATGACTCTAAAGAGAATGAATCAAATGTTGTACTAAATAAAAAAAATTTAAAATTTAAAATAAGATGCATAATGAACGAAGAATTATCCAATTGTATTTTGATGAATAAGAAAAAAAAATATTTTGATGAATAAAAAAAAAAATGTTTAGAGAGCCTTAACCAGCAGCTAGGAATCCTGATTCCACCACCAGGAGAGAAGATGGCGAAGTCGCGGCGGCTGAGGACGTTGAGGAGAAGAATATCTGGACCGTTCTACGAGGAGGAGGAGGAGGAGGAGTTGGCCAAGTTCGCCGCCCCCAAGTTCCCAGTCAAATCCCTCCGCGCCGACCATGGGTGAGTCATCGACACCTCTCTCCTCCCTCGCCTCTTATTATGTTTTCCTGGTAGATCGGCGAGAAGAGGGCTTTTATCATTATTCTTCAAAGACTTGATCTCAAATATGTATGTCGCGATTGACACTCGAATGGTCGATAAGCAGCTTTTGTTGAAATCGAGGAGGCATAGGCAACGGAATTGTATAAACTGCTATGAAGGTTGCATCTTTTTCAAGTGGTCAAATAAGTGACCGTATATATTGTCGGAGAATGTTGACCAAGTAAAACATTACGGATAGAAATAGACTACAGCTCCAAGGTGCTTGCCAAGAAGAATCTAAGATCGGATCAAAAGTAGCAAATAACAAAGTACCTGAAGATGACTAACCTTTGTGCTTCAACCATGAAGCCGAATAGGCCACGGCTCTTGGGTGGTGTTGGTGAACAAAAGTATTGTCGCTGATGAGTCAGTATGGTCAGGTCAACGGGTCGATGTCGAGAGCTTCTTACGAAGTGAGTAGGCTGATGAAGTAGTCGCACCCTTAGGAAGGAGTGTTGGTTGGCGTTGGTCAGGATTCGGGCTGACTTACTGTTCTCCCTTTCGCGGTGGAAGGTGTCTCCTAGGTCGAGATACTCATCGCTTGGAGGTGATCGTTCTGGGGCGGCTCGAGTAAGAGTTGGGCTGGTGGGATCGATCGGTCCCTAACGAGGGGGATGTTGATCAGTGTTCCTTGGTCTGTTGATCCGGGCATCATTTATGATGGACCGTGTCTCTCCATCTCTGAGATGGTTAATAGTGCATCCTCGTACTTTAGAAGTCATTGGAGGAACAATCATTGAACCTCCAAGGCCAATTGTAATTGATATGATCTCAACTTTCAACGTTGTTGAAACTCTACCAAAACTCAGGTGAGAGGTTGGTCGGGAAAGATTTAGGACAAAAAATATTCGAGAAAGGTGATAGGTTTCTCCATCACCACGAACAGAAGACCTCGTTGCTTCTCTCACAAACAAAAAATTAGATAAATTTATCTTGTGAATCAATTATAGGATAAACTAG